CCTTCCTTCCTTCCTTCCTTCCTTCCTTCCTTCCTTCCTTCCTTCCTTCCTTCCTGTTTTCATATTGATGGGATTGGATGGTTAAACCTTTTAGTAGAAACAAAGAAGCAGTGCTTGGCCACTGTTGCAAAAAGTATTGTATTTACTTACCTGGCAGGGAAGACACCTTGATTACAAACAAAACAATCAAACCACCAGATAATTTGCCTGCATTGATTGGTTGACAGCAAAATTAGAAAATCACATGCATTTCAGGTTGGAACAAAACCGCATGGGCCAAAGCAGTAACTAAAGAATCCTAGTTCTGTAAATTTAAAAATCAGCATGAATGTGTATGTACATATAAAGTACATTTCAGGCCTTACAAACAACATTAAAACATAGGAATATTTCTAAAAAAAACAGTAGTGTTTTAGATGACCAAAAAGACATGGGACTGATGGCAACAAATACTATTACTAGCTAGTATTTTCACAAGAAACCTACAGAGAAGATTTAGGAGTGATGGCTATTTACCAAGAGAAGAGAATGGCACCACAAACACCATGTTTCCCTTCCCTATTTCTAGCATTTGGATTGCTAGGGGACCTAGCAGTTGGTGGCTTTTCATGAAACTGCTACTTATTGAGACATATGGAAGCCGCATAGTTGTATCATACGCTCGGTCTTTCTCCTTGAAAGCTTTAGGGTAACATCAGGAACCAGCCTCTACAGTCTTATTGCAGTGCTTTTACTGCAGTGAATTGCAGTGCAGTTCTTTGTGTGGCAAGATTAGCATGCAGTGCAACGTTAAAGGAAAGACAACTGATAATAGAGTTCAGACAAGCAGGGCATCCACGGGATACGGTCCAAAAAGACAAGATGGTGGTCACAACAGTGTGATTGAAGCTCCATTTTTTTTTTTTTAAATGCCCATTGCATGTGCAACACACACACACAGTGGGTGGGCTTCCATGGCACCATCACAGCTGCTGTCTTGACTTTTTGGACTATACCCTGTAGACCTCCTTGCAGACAAGTATTCAAAATGTAAAGATCGAAGAGGCCGAAACAGCTGTAAAAGCACCCAGTCAGCTGGGACAGCTGCATGCCAAGGAAGGGGCAGGAATCAGAGTAATGAGCCTGAGGAAAAATCAGGAAACTGTCTGTACAAGGAAGTATTTCATTTCTGCATTTTTACCCTGCTGGCACAGATAAAAACTGGCAGCTTCGCATGCCTGATTCTGCCTTTGGCAGGGAAGATGTTACACGTCCTTTTTCTCTCCTCCTTCTTCCCAGGGACTTGCTGCATCATTTCCCTTTGCACGTGCGTGGCTGGGATCAATTTTGAGCTTTCTCGTTACCCTCGGTATGTTTACGGATTACCAGAGGACATCAGCCATGGCTACGGCTGGTCCATGTTCTGCGCTTGGGGTGGCCTGGGACTGACGCTGCTGGCAGGGTTCTTATGCACCCTTGCTCCCTCTCTCAACACCCCTCGGACTGTTGTACAGAAACCCAGACAGGAAAATGGAGCTGTGTGATGTGAAGAATACCAGCGACTCCTATTAGCCCACCGCCTGTTACCAGAATGCAGCGTGGACATTTGAGATCTGCAAACCAGGTTGGAACTAAGGGGTTCTATTGCTCTGGCAAAGTCATGGAGGAATGCCACCCTGTGATTCTTCTGTCTGCCTGTTTCTGATTCAAATCAACCATCGGGTTAATTCTTATTCCTATTTTTTTCTACAAGACAGTTTTCTGTTAAATAGGCTTGTGGTGCTATAAGACCCGTTGATCGTTTAAATGGCATCAGATTTTTCTTAGGAACAGAAGCCAGTGTGAATTCTGTTTGATGCCAAGGAGTTTTATTTCCAAGAACTGGAAGGTCAAGTAGACGTGAAGGCCAAGGAGAAATCCGCCCAGTCTCAGTATTGATTCTCTTTTGCAGCAGAGACCCAATGCTGGAATTGGTCTACTACCCTGATGCAATCCTTGGTCTGGAGGAAGGTTTTAAACATTCAGATAGAGAGGGAAATATTCTCAATCCAGGCTGTTCAGTATCTGTATCTTGTTAGATCTGGAAGTCAAATATGCACTTTACCTTGGGGCAGTGCATATTAGACTTCAGATACTTGAAGAATATTTCCAGAAGGGGGCAGGTTGCAATGATGTAGTTGCCCAAACTGTAAAAGTGATTGTTCTCATGAACCAGTTCAGGATTGCACAAATCTGATCTGGTCCCTTACTCCCTTGCAACAAGTCTTGTTGATCTGGTTAGAACCCTATGTTCATTTGCAAGGAAAAAAATCATAGGTGAAGCGAGCAAGGGAGCCGGACCCCCTTTTCAAAACATGTAGCTGCTGTAAAAGGTAACCTAAGATTTGTGGTCCATTTTCAATCCTTCCAGAATATAGAAGAAACTTTGTTTTGGAAAAGGAGCACAGACCTTGAAAATCTTACATCCTCTTGTAACACAAAATGAGGCATAACCCATAACAGGGGTCCACAGTATACAGATGATTAACAAGCTGAGCCTAACTCAGGAACATCAACAATGGTGCTGAAGGGAAGCCCTGGTCTTTCCTCATTGTACTTCTTTACTGTCTCCCCCAAAGACTGCACAGAAGCCTTTGTTGAAGGGCTGTTTACATTGTATTTTGAAGTGGCATGTAATTAATTACTCAGTGCTAAAGTTAATGTATTCATGGCAAGTGTGATTTTTAAATGGAAGTTGTACATTTCAAGAGGCATTAAATTAAAAGGCTTGGATACGTTACAAGGAGAGAAATTCTTTGCCTTTAGATTTCTTCTACGTGTTACAGCTGCAAGAGAAACCCCGTTACATGATATTTAGTATCTCTACAACAATAAGGAAGCACCATCTGATGAAATGTATCAGTCCTGGTGACCAAATCTCAAGGTAAACAGGTGTTCGGTATCAGGGCCAATTTGGCAGCAGAATAAAGAAGTTGGGACTATGATATTTTACATAATTTATCTGACCAGCTAAGCAAACCTGTAGTCTACTAATCAAGTAAGTAGCCAACATAACAATTGAACAGAAGGGGAGTAGGAACTGATAATCATTTATTATAATACACTGGAGGCCATTCAGTGTGTTCAATGTGTTACACTGAATGACTATCAGTGAGTGTAAGGGCTTTCAAGAAACACAATCATTCCTTGAGGTCAAGTGAGTTGACCTAGAAATGCTGAGATTGATTGGTGGAGGCCTTCAGAGACTGGAGAGTCAGGGACAACCTGATGCTAGGAATGTAGTCTAATAAAAACTACACAGCAGAATGGAGACAACCATAGTGCTGTAGGAAGACAGTTTTCCAAAACAATGGGTGCTACAGGAAGAGAAGAGAAGGGTATATTGGGAAGATGTCACCCTACATATCAACAATAGCATACATTCCAACAAATCAGCATTTTCATATAGGGTAGACTTACAGAATTGTTATGTATAAGAGGGTCCAAAACAAATGTAACACTAAGAACATACTAATGCTTTTCTGACAAATGATGTTTGGAGTGATTTTCAGATGGGCAATGAAATTCAACAGGACCTGTAAAAGAAGACTTCAATCATCCTTATACTATAAAAACAGATGGTCCAGCCATGACAAAAACATTTTTTAATATCCTGAAAGACAATTTAAGAGTTAACCATAGAAGAAATTATTCTAGACTTAGGGAGTACTAGGGTCTTGTCAAAGATGTAAATATGACTGAACTGATAGGAAAGAGTATCCACAATGCTATAACAAATGTTTGCAAAGGCAGGAACTGGTCAATGCATTGCATTTGATTTTTTAAAAAAATCTTTTTAAAGAAAAGTGAGATCACATGTTCAAGGAAAAGGGAGAATCAAGAGAGTCAAGTCTCTCTAGAATCCCTGAATATTATTTTTAAAAAGTAACAGATGTTAGATTGTACCTCAAATCTGAAAAAGTGCTACCAAGTCCAAGAGAATACAGTAACAGTTTGTTATGATAAATATGAGTTATCATGTCAGAGATGACATTAGAGTTAAGAAATTTCCCTCAAAGAATAACAAAACTCTTGTCCAAATGGAAAATAGCGCAACTGAGGGGAAAAAAGAACACAACCTTTAACAACAAAAAGATAATAAAAGATACACGAAAGATATCAACGAGTATATACCAAATAACATTAAGGTAAACAATTAAAAATCTTTAAATATATAATCAAAGCAGGAAACTAGCTACAAAAATGGTTTGAGCCTTGGGCAGAGTCACTAAATCTGGTCAAAGAAATTGCAGAGAAGCCCAATTAATTCTATGCACTGGTCTTTACTGGGCAGGACACTCAGGGATCAGTTTGCTTTTTCAGGCACACGGGGTAACAAAGGAGAAAGTTTTAGTCTTGGGTGACAAAAATAGATGGTATCTACCTCAAAGCCTCTTAAAACGCAATCTTCCTAAAATTTACAGCTTTTCCTCAGGGACTGGGAAATGGGCAATGTAATTATAATTTTAAAATTATAATTTTAAAAAGAGACTGAAAGGGGATATAGGACATTATAGACCAGCTATTTTGAGTAAATCACTGGGAAGTATTATTAAAATTATCAAGCATCTAGAACAAATTTTGTTGAAGAATTACCAACTGCAAGGGCAAAATCTTGTTGCAGTATCTAGACTTTTCTGACAGCATTAACAGGCATGATCCAATATATTATACTTGAACTTTCAAAAATTGTTTTAGAGTTCCTCACCTCAAGACAACTGAGCAATCATGGGATAACAGAAGAGGGAGGAAGGATTATGATTAAAAGTGTAATGTGCACATTAGACAAAAAAGGATGGAGCAAATTGGAGTATAACACTTGCAAACATATTCTACATTACTTTCAAGATCAGCTGAAATACTAGCTGCAAGGTAGCAAGAATGAAAGAAAGCTATTTTAGCTATCCAGGACTAGCTAGGCCTTTGGCCCAATGCAGCAGTGATCTTATGCCTGTAAAGAGCAGACATGCTCAACTTCCACTTTTCCCAACAAAAGCTTTCCAAATATTGCTGCCAAGTTGATTTATTTCCCTCCGAGAGAAGGGAAAACCTATTCAATATATGGCGGCCAACTCTAATTTAAATCCAATTGTTCATTTTTGTTCTGGCTATGCTCATGTTTTAGAGTGTGAACCCTGGCATGTCACTCCAAGGCTAAGTATATATTGGTTATAAATTTAGACATGAAATATTCCCAATCTCCACAGATATCTTTGGCTCATCACTCCTCCTCACCTCCAGCCTAAAAAAAATAAGTTCTACTTCAGAGTCAAAGTGATCGTCATTCTATAAGTCTAAAAAATATAGTTTTGTATCAAATGGTGTACAGGATTTGTCTTTAGTTGAATGCTACATAGATGTCTTCAGAATGTACATAGGCAAGAACTGAAGCACTGATTGTTAACAACCAAAGAAAATTGTGAAAGCATACCAAAGATTCAAGCGCAAAAGCAAGAAACAAGAAGTTTGGGTGGGTTGTGCACATGTTGGTGTTTTAAGAGGTTAACGAGAGATGCTCCGTATACATGAATATCACACATAATTAATGTTTGTTCTTCATCTCCAACCATATACTACAACAGCAGCCTCAGTCGGAGGAAACACTTTTAATTAATTCATTTTTCTCATAAATGAAAGGAGTTCACACAATTCAGTTGCAAGTGTTACAACACAGGGCTTTAATATCCACTTTAGGAGCAAAAATCAGGCATAATATTGCAGATTGGCTTTTTTCTTGGCCTGCACTTCCAAAATTCCTTCCATGTAATCTTCATGGGTAAGCTCCGTTGCTCCATGCCGAAGGGCAATCATCCCCTAACCCAAGAAAGCAAAGGGGGGGGGGGAGAAAGCATTCAGCAAAAGTGCAATATAGCTAACTTAACAAACCACAACTCCAATGTTAGACACAGCCTCCGTAGTTTAGCAGTTAGGAAAAAACTGACTTCCAAAGGAAACTGGCTAAACCTACTTACCGCTTCCACGCACACAGCCTTGCACTGTGCACCATTGAAGTCATCTGTGCATCGCGCCAGCTCTTCATAATTCACATCAGGGCTGCACAGAAAGGAGTTCAATTTTTTTAAACAAAAAACTCCATGGGAAGGATGTAAAACTTCATGCTGAACATAATCCAAATGGTACAATCCATATAAACCATACCAATTTGCTCTATTTCATTCTGCATACTCTATTCTCATTTTCCTAGACACAGGGAAGGATAAGAAATTAAGACCTGACCTAACCATTGAAAATAATATTTAACTTCTGCTGTGGCACCTCGGGTTTCATTAGCTATAACTCACACAAACTACCTTCACAGTCATAAGGATTAGGAACTTGCTTTTCACAAAATAGCTAAGATTCTAAAATAGTGTAATGGTTTTTAGTTAATAGCATATTCTGGGCAACTACTTAATTATGGCATGCACTGAGTAAAAATGATTCCATAATTCAAAGTTCAGCCAACATCATTCAAATTACTTTCTCTTTCTGTTTAATACCTGACATTCATTTTGCGTGAATGGATCTGCATAATCCTGGCTCTGGCCTCTTCATTGGGCATTGGGAATTCAATCTTGCGGTCTAGCCGTCCTGAACGGAGTAAAGCAGGATCTAGGATATCAACACGGTTGGTTGCAGCAATCACCTGGATAAACGACATCACTTTGTAGTTGTGCAAACACAGATTCTATATCCCAAGATTATTAAATTACTGTAATAGGTTTGGGCAGTCCATAGCTTGCGTGTAGCCCCCAGGTCAGTTACTGATATGGTACAGGTTTTCACTTCAAAAAAGCCCCCTCTTTACCAAAAAAGGTCAATATTCTAGCCCTGTTCATTCTGCACTTCAGAGGCTAATAAAAATATTTTAAAAATAATGAATCAAAGCCATTAAAAAACTTGAGCTCTATCACCAGTCTGATTTCTAAAGCTTACTCTATATCTGCTTACAAATACTATTTCGCTACAGAACTGCTTCACATATTAACGAAGGGGCAAAAAGTTACCTTGACTTGTGTGTTGGGTTGAAACCCATCAAGCTGATTAAGCAATTCCAACATGGTCCTCTGTACTTCACGATCCCCAGCTTTTTCACTGTCAAATCTGATGGGAAAAGCAAACTTTTCTTTTTTAATTACCCATTTTCTGTAGGAATCTTCTTTCTACCTTTTGATGTGTGTGTGTGTGTATATGTGTGTGTGTACAGATTTAATTAAAACATTACTTTGATGAAATAATAATCAATGAAAAATCATTCTCCTATGGTCTCACTGCCCATATGCTTAGCATACCATGTTATTATGTAAATATTGTTTCTTCCTATACCAGCATTAATGGACCAACTGAGTCAGAGGATTTAATCTATTATGCTTTCCATGCTATGAGCTAGCTGAGGTCACAGAGTTTTGTCTTTTAGTTGCCATCCACTGGGCCAAATACAGTTAATTTTGCATAATGTTGCCAATACAGTGGTACCTCGAGATACGAATGCCTCTACTAACGAACTTTTCAGGTTACGACCAGCTCCAGCCGCAAAAATTTACCTCGATGTGCGAACTCCGCCTCGGGGTACGGTCATTTTTCGGCCTGACACGTGGTCCGCGGCCGTTTTCCCGCCCTGCCGCGCGGCACCCGGCTGTTTTCCCGCCCCACCGCGCGGCGCCCGGCTGTTT